TCCTTTTTTTGAATTTGTAGCATTATTCTTAAAAAGTGCAAAGCCAGTAAAGAAAGATGAATTAGGAGATAGAAAGTGTCAGTTAGATAAAGAATGACTTTAATTAATAATTAAATTATATTTTGTTTACATTTTAGTTTACATTCAATCTTTTTGTAGAGAATTTTTAACAAAAGAACATTTAAAGGAAATATTAGCTATTTCTCTTATTACAATGCAGACAACTGGTATATTATTTAATTAAAAAATCTTTAGGATGAATGTATTAAATCTATAATATTACTAATAATATTTCTTATTACCTAATAGTTTATTATGAATTGTTAGGAACAGAGCTAATTATAAGTATAAGTGTAGAGGATGGCGATCCTAGTGTAGGTGTTGGGTTGTTATCCTCCAAGTGGCAGATCTAATGTTCAAATCCCACCTATGATAAAATTTGGAAATTATATCTGTATTATGGTAACTGTGTCTTGTTGATTGGTTGAATTAGAGAGATAATCTGTAATCTTAGAGATACCATCTTGAATAGGAGCTCGGGCATCTATGCGAAGTGTAATATTACACATACATAGAGAAGTGTTAAATAACCAGATGCATAATATTAAGAAACCGAAGCACAGAAATCTACTTAGAAATCCTGAGTAAAGAGGTAGCATAGACTTTCGATAGTGTTATCCTATATCTACTTCTTTTAAGATAGTAGGTAACTAGAGTAACCTTAGACAGTAAACACTTTTGTAACCTCACTTGTTATTGTGTTATTAGATTAAGTCAGTAAGAAATTTAGGTTTAGTGCTAGCCATTTGTCTGATTAAGAGATAGAAACTCACTTTAAGTACATATTTAGTTTCAGTTGCTTCTTTAATGACTTTACCAGGATAAAAATTATAAAGATGTTCTTTAAGAAAATTAAAGAGTTATCAGGATATATCAGTTTGTAGTGTTGTATAACTTTGTATTTTATCAGTAACTGGAAAATTTGCTAGAAAGTTATATTTTTGCTAAAATAGAACTTCTTATTAGAAGAAGTGCTTGCTGATTACTTATACTTATTATTATTATTTTTTTTGTATTAAAGCCTCTGCCTTTGGAAAGTAATTTTTATTCAAGTTTCAGACATGGGTGCCTCCAAGAGCCTCTTATATTGGAGGTTACAACTAGTCACACACGTACTTTTGGTGCCTAATTTAAATAGTCTGTCTAATATATTACTATATAGATTCTACACTAGATATCATACCTGCAAGCTAACTACAGATCTTGCCTATTTAAACTCTCTGCATATGCAATCCTCTTGTATCACAAGAACACAGTTCCTGATCCTTATCAGTATCCTTAGCAGAAAACTTACTAGAGCCTGCTATGTTCTATACATGCTGACCTAGTTTTATGTAATACACT